TGTAGTATATGCCTCCCATAGAAAGAAGAAAAAAAGTTGTTTGAAGACTACTATGTGTCAGCTGCCTTAGGAGGGGTGGCTTAAGGATGGTTGGAACTATTGAATGTTCCTGAATGGGAGACAGTTTAACTTTTTGATTATTGAGTTTGAGAAGATGACATCCAACGAAATGTGTCCAATTACCACATCCACTTGAAAAATAGATACAAGCAGTCCCTGTCCTTTTTATGTCAAATTCGTATCAGTGGTAATAAATTGTACAGCATCTGAATGTTTTGTCTTCCTCTTTACCTGAACCAGTATTAGCCCATTTCACAGGAATTTGTTTTTTCGATTTTTCATATTCTTTCCTGCTCTGTATGTATTGTAGGGATAGGGGGAAGATGATGAGAATGTGTTTACGAAAAGAATGAAAAACACATGAGGCTTTGCTGCATACTCTAGTTGTTAAAATATATATAGGTAAATGGGTTTAAATGTCACAGTAGCCTAGTGCCTTAAAGCATATTTTATCAGTCTCTCAACTTGTAACCATGTGCTCACCATGGTTGAACTATTTGAATTAAAAACCAAATTGCTATGTTTTCAATAGGATGCATTCAGTTTACTAGCTTATTCCGATCCTTGGAACAGCCCTGTTGGAAATCAGCTTGACCCAATTCAGAGAGAACCTGTGTGCTCGGCTCTTAACAGTGCAATATTAGGTAAGTAAAGCCAAAAAGCACAACTCCAACTAGATTCTTTGAATATTTGAGATGGTATTTGTGCTGGCATTTTATATTTTGGTAAAATCATAAGGGAAAGATTTTCTACATTTTAAAATTAAAATTACCTTAAAATATAGAAACTTTCATTATTTTAAGTCCAGATTAAATGGATTCAAATGAATTAAAAACAGTACATTGGGATGCATCTGGGGAATTTTGGAAATTAGAAATTTTTGTGTGCATGTACATAAACATTTCTGGCCTGATGAGTCACCCATTTTACAGCTCCCACCATGCTTAAGATAAAGGCACAAGGGGCTTCCAGGTGACTTGGGAATGCCCCATCAATACTAACCCTTGAAGTCAAATTATATTTGCATTAAAGCATATTCAACTGCATGCCCTTACCAAATAAAGAGGGTATGTGAGGAAGAGAACAACAATTGAAATAGGCTTAGCCAGGGGTGAGCATTAAGTGAGAAAATGGAATTTGCTGTTCCCCTGGTTGGTTGCCATTCCTATGAGCAACTCACTCCAGAGTACGGTTATAATGTTTATATATTGAACAAATACACTTTTTATATGAAGAGGGTTCCTATTTGAGACTTAATCTGGTTTATCCCTATAAAGTTCATTTTTAATTCATTATGTGTAAAGGTCTCATACTGAAGTTTTAGAATAGGAGTAATATCTTTATGTTATAGTTTTCTTAAATTTAGAATTTGTATATAATAAAAAATGTGAAATTTCTTTATGTGTTGTTAAATTGTGTTGTAATTTCTTTGGTTATGAAATGCATTTAGCTCTATTGGTAAAAATAAGAGAACTTAGTAGCAATGCTGGGATTATAGGGCAAATTGTGGTTTACTATACTTGTATTTTTTAAATTACTACATTATTAGTAATCACGAAGCCCTATAATTGTTTTGTATTTATGTAACACTCAGACCTGGAAAAAAAAATTGTGAAGCAACCAATTGTTTACCAGTTTTTTTGTATCTTAGATTATTCAAGGGGATTAAATTTTTAAATATTAAATTATTTGGGGCCATTATCCAGTAAAATATGTATCCTTACATATTGTACTACATATTATGTAGGTTCACCCATAAATAGTGCTTAAACTTAATAAGATTATTAAATTGCATTGGGGGGTGTCTGCATATTTATAAATACTAAATTATATAATTTATAAATAGTGCTTAAAGTTACATTAACTGTATGTAATTCTTGCAAGTTTCATATCCAAAATAATTTTTAAATGCTTATAATCAGATGCCCCACTTGGTCAAAATAAAATTGTAGTAAAGTAACTTTAGATGCTTAACTTTGAGCAAGGTTAGTTCTCTGTAAACCTGCAGGAGACATTCCCTGTTGATTTTGTATAAAAAATTATTCTTCATTCAAATTAAGGCACAATCATTTTAAATTTATAGTCAATCATGCTTAGAGTTGGCAAAGAAAAAATTTATCACTATCAAAATTTAGCCAAATAGCATCTTGCCACAGGATAGCCAGTACTTTAGTAATCTTAACCCAGACTACTTTTCCCACACCTTCTCCCTAATTTGTGTATCCTTTTTTGCCTATTTTTATTCTTATATTCTTAATCCTATTTTATGTCCTCTTGTACTTTAAATCCTGAACTTGCTTCCTCATTATTTTTGCTTCACTCCTTCTAGAACTTTTCTCTGAGATTACCACCTCTGAACCAAGGGTGGAATTAAATCATATGGAGCCTTACCAGTCATTTATGCCCTTTATTGTCAACTATGTCTGTGAAGGACTGATTAGTAATTTTATTAATTGGGAATCTGCATCAACTTAAAATTCAGACATCTACTCACAAGGAAAAATTAACCAGCTTCTAAAAGTTTGGCCACTTTCACCGTTAGTTCATTTTTCATTTCTGGCAAAGAACAAATTTTATTAAGTACATTTGTACTACAACTGTCTGACAAATTTCTGGTATGTAGGACCCTGAATATTTTATTGGCAGTTTTTAAAATGTTTGACCTATCAATTGTAAATTATCCCTCCAAAATTATAGAGTGATTTTGCTCTATCATTTCTCATGGTCACCGTCATCCCTTGCTCCCTGCCAACTCAAATAACATTTACCAGTATGGCTTGGAGACAATTAGGCAGCCTCAGTTGTGTTCTGTCCCCGTAAGAGGAACATTGGTGAAGCTTTTACTAAAAACCTAGTGCCTTTTTCTACTGTCAACTGACCTTGGTCAAATAGAAGAGAAATACTAAATATTTCTTATGTCTCCATTTAAATATCAGTCAAAAAGTTGTATCTTTCCCATCATAGTTAATATGGAAGTGAAAGATTTAAGAGTATCTAACACTTTAAAAATCTAAATTCTGCAAGAATTTCTTACAGTTGAATACCTAGTACTATATGACCTCGTCATAGTAGTACCTCCAGGGCATTAATCATTTGTTTAGAAACTACCTTTGCTAGTCAAGAGTGCTATATGCATTGATAATTTTGTAAGTAATGCGGTATTTTCCTGAAGAGATTTTTTTTAAAAATGTCTTGCTAATTGCTATTTCCATTTTTAATTATTTTTCCTCAGAAACTCACAATCTGCCAAAGCAACCTCCACTTGCCCTAGCAATGGGACAGGCCACACAGTGTCTAGGACTGATGGCTCGATCAGGAATCGGATCCTGCGCATTTGCCACAGTGGAAGACTACCTACATTAGCTATGCATTTAAGGAGCTCACACTTATATTGTGGCATATAGTCAACATGGAAGTAGACCAGCTCTGCTGATTTGAAATTTAGATTTTTTTAATTATGTACTGGGGACAGGTTTTTGTCGCTTTACATTGCTTCCTAGTTTACAGCATGATGCAAATGATTTTCTAACTTAGTGTTAGGAGAAATTATTTTCCATCTTTAACCTCTTAGTTGTCTAAGAGTTAAATATTACTGAATCTCAGACATTCAAATTTATCATCACAAATCCTTTAAAACAATTACCTAAAAGAAACCAAAAAATCCTGCCTTCTTTGTTGGGGGGGAGAGGGGGGAAGGAAATGGAACAAGTTGTGTTGTGTTAGCATGTGGGTGATGTAAACTTCAAATTGGGAGATATTCCGACCCCCCACTCCCATATAAGCATTCAATCAGTGTAACTTGCAAAATGCATAAACATCTGACAGTTTGAATTTATAGTGTTGATGGAAGAAATCATTTTTAATGTGTACTGTAAAACTTGAAATACTCAGGAGCTGAGTGAATACGTTTGTTGCTACTTACAATCCCGACCTGTTAGTCCCAGTAGTTTTGTTTTAACATGGTCTTTTCAACTTTGTTTCCTGTTTAACTACCAACGAATTCTGTTGTAGACTCACAAGTTTAACTTGTATTATAACAGTATTATATGTCAACGGTGTGGTTATGACCTTTATTTATATAAAAACCAAATATTTAGTCAATTTACCGTGTCTTAATTTAATCTTTGTACACCTTCCATTTTTAAGTGCTTAAATGAGTACTATATTGCAATAAAAATGTAGTGATATAATTAACCAGCCATTAAAAATTTACTTCTACAGATATTAGTGTCAACTGAGTTTATATATTAGGTACTTAAATACTTATGATTAATATCAAATTAGAGCAGTTAAAATTAATTTTACTATAAAGCTGAATCCTACAACCTAAAACTGTTCAGTTTACTACCCTCCCTGTATTAAGGTCAAACCTGATACTGTGGCTGACACAGAAAGAGAAAAATCTCCTTATTTTCATAATCATAAGGCATGTTACTTGCCAGTAAAGCAAACCTCCAAACCAGTTAAAAGTAAAATGTAAACAAGCTGTTTGAGAGGATGACCATATCCTTTGGTTGACTATTATTTTGTACATTGAGGCTTACCTTCAGAAAAGTAGGTATTACCTACACTTTCACAGCTACTCTTTCTCATGCCGTATTTTATGAAGCAAATTCTCATCAGTAGCACCAAAACATCTGAGACTAAGGTATCTGAGAGCTGTAGCTGGAAAGACTTTTCCTGGATGTCCATTTTTCCTCCTCTGCCCTGCCATTCCTGCCACACCCCCACACTGTGGGTTAAGGGGAGGGGTAGAAAAGGTGCCATTACTGGTGGTGTTTATATTCAATTAAATGGATAAATACTTATAAAAATAAATGGAAATAATTCCTTTTAAACTGCTATTTCTTCCAGGACCCTAAAAGATTAAAGGCGCAATTGTATTCAAGAATGAAATGTAATGGGGTACTTCCCCAAATAGATTTGAGACTTTTGTAATGATCCTTTTACAAGACTTATAAATGATTTATTAGATTTTAAGACAAATTAATCTTCTAAACTAAATAAGTTCCATACATAGAAAGTTCTCATTCTTCATTTAGCTTTGATTTACTTAGAAGTTTTCATCTTTCTGACCATCCACCGTCTTTTAAACCTCTTGGCATTTTGTTTTTTCTGGGTTCCTAGAATAGAAAGTATGTGCAGTAAAAATATTAGAGATACAAAATTCCCAAGAAAGAATTCAAAGTTTTTCAAGATCCTCTATATGAATATAAATACTAAAATGAGGTCTATTAAATTAGATTTTGTCAGATGTACAGACATACTACAATGATGTTTTTCAAAAGCAACTTAAAAATATTAGTATAGAAGCTATTATAAGAAAAAAGATAATTCATAAATTCATAACTGAGTATTTACTATTTCCTTAAAAAGAACATTATTCAATATATAATCAAGTATCAGAACCAAGAAAATGAAGCTGGACCTTACCCCAACCACTATTTAAAAACTGGGCTGCAGCTTTTTTCACTGGTAACCTCTTATTGTCAAGAGACAGGAACTTATTTACTAGAAAAGAGAATTATCTATCATTTTTTTGTTTATTTGTAGTAAAAAGTGAGAAAAACAGTCCATAATGTAATTACCAGTAGTTCTGTTGGTTCCTGGACCATACAACGAATTTTGTATGAAGGCTCTGGCTGCTTGTTGCCTTGAATCTCTCAGATCTTGATCTTTTAGCCTTAGAGCCAAGTAGCTTTTATTTTGGCTGATTAATACAAAAGGTGAAAATGAATGAGGTTGACAACATGCTTAAAATAAAGTACTTTTGTTAGCTGCCTCAAAAAGTGAAAAAAAAAAATCCTTATTTTGTATATGCACAGATACACTAATAAAACTAAATTATAGAGCTATTTTATAAGAAACAGGCTAATATTTACAGTTTAGTAGAGCAAATACTTTATAAGTACCACAACTGGTTTTCCTACAGAGGATCCAATCTGAAACTGCTACTAATTAAAATATTTTTCCACACAGCCAACACTTTCTCTCAAAAGGTTACCTTTATATCCTACAACATGGAATCTTCTTACCCAATAGACTGTACTTTCTGTATTTTCTCTTTAGCTTTCTTGGAGTCACTTTCTTTTTCACAGTCTTCATTTTTCTTCTGCAAGTTAACTAAAAAATTTAATTTTACTTGTAGTTAGCACTTATGTAAAAATAAATCAAGAACATTTTCTGGAGTTCATGTTAAATATCCACTCGCACCAATTTGGATGCAACTTTTATTTGTAAGATACAAGGCAGCAGGCCCAAGCTAAACTTGGCCAGTCCTATTCCCAAACTCTCTTAAGGGCCAGTAACATCTGACTACAAATGCACTTGACACTTACATGAGAAGTTATTTAAATTAGAATAGTTCATACCTTTTTTTAACTTTTCTGGTGATTTCTTTAAGCTAAAGGAGAACAACAAAGACACTGATTGGAATGGCAGACAGCAAAGATTACTCAACTTACACAATTAAACCTGGTTTTACAAAGAAGAGAACCTCCTTTCATTTCGCCACTCTCAGTTTTGACTCAGGATCTTTACTCGATTTGGAAAGCAAGTCACCCCCCAAGTTCACAGCCACCAACTCCCAGTCAGCAAACTAATAAATACTGGATGGGAGTATCTTCTCAGAATTTAAATTGAAAGCATATTAGCAGGCTTTCAAAGAAGCAGATTGCTGTGGTTAATGGAGTTAAAGTGAAAGACTTAAGAATGAGCTATATAATACATCAGCTGAAATAGGAAGTGAAAGGTGCTAGGCCGGCCTCATTTTATTTGGAGAGATCACAGAGGATTAATTCAACAGGTTAAGCATAAGAGACAAGAAGGAGACAAGGACTAGCCTTGAGGAATCTGGTCTGAAACAAATGAAAAGTGACAAAACACTATGAGATGCCTACACCGTGCTAGAAAACCTATACAAAGGAGGAAGGAATGAGCTGACGAGTGACAGAATGAACAGGTGATATTTGAGTTTAGTTTTAAAGGATAAATCTGCCACCAAATACATTTGTTACATTTAATGTATTTGGGATCTGAATAACTCTTTGGAAAAGTTCTACAGAAAATCTGAGAATCAGGTCAAAGATAAAAGGTCTAAGCTTTTGAACTTAAAGCCTTAAGGGGAGATGAGACAGAGGAAACATTTTGATGTCAAAATTTATTTTTTGAATATATCTTTACTGATTTCAGAGAGAGGAAAGGAGAGGGAGAGAGATAAAAACATCAATGATGAGAGAGTCATTGATCGAGCCTGCAACCAGGGCATGTGCCCTTATGGGGAATCGAACCCCAATCGCCTGGATACCAGGTCGACGCTCAACCGCTGAGCCACGCCCAGCCGGGCTGAGGTCAAAATTTAGTAAGGTTGGATTGAGCTCATGGGACAGATAAAGAGGATGCCTATAGCAACTGCTTTAAACATTCAGTGGATGGCAAAGCTCAGCTGGCAATGGAAATGAACAAAAAGAAATGGTGAAAGACTGACAAGAAGTAAAACACTTCGATCTTTCCCACCAAATTCAACTATCTACTCTGTAACTTTTTAAAAAATATATTTCAGAGAGAGGAAAGGAGAGGGGGAAAAAAGAGAGAGAAACATCGATGATGAGAGTCACTGGTCGGCTGCTCCCTGCACTCCCCTTACTGGGGATCGAGCCCGCAACCTAGGCATGTGCCCTGACCAGGAATCGAACTGCAATCTCCTGGTCGATGCTCAACTGCTGAGCCATGCCATCCAGGCTTTTTTTTTTTTAAACCCTCACCCGAGGATATTTTTTTCCACTGCTTTTTGGAGTGAGTGGAAGGGAGGGACAGAGAAAGAAACATCGATGTGAGAGACATTGATTGGTTGCCTCCTGCATAGGCCCTGACCAGGGCTGGGTATCAAGCCTGCAACTGAGGTAAGTGCCCTTGGCTGCAATTGAACCCTTCAGTCTGGATAGGGCTACTGTTTAACTCTCAAATTTAGGCTTTATTATTTCTTCAATTATATGGATTCAAATAAATGTATTCAAAGACGGGTGTATGTAAGCAAGTAATATAAGATCCATTACTTACTTTGTCTGTGAAGCTGTAGTTAACTTCTCTAGAATGGTGTCTGGAAGGAGTTTCCTTTTCTTAAAAAGATTTAAAAAGAATAAAAAGTGAGGTGCATGACAATATACCCTGGGTTGCTTCTGAAGTTACAGGTTTAGGGACAGCTTTATATCCCAGGCGAATAAGTAACTTGGGCTGACCACTGCCTCCACTATCTCTAAGCAGTGGGAAAATTGCGATCACAGAACTCAGAACCCGCTCCATATCCTTTGGAAGACCTGGTGCAGACTGGTAAGGGTGCCCAACCCTCAGTCACTGTTCTACACTGAAAGCAGTCATGTCCTGTCCCTTTAGAGTCAGTTCTCTGTGGCCCATCTGCCGAGCATCAGAAAGCAGAGCAATCACACTCTAGGTTGGTACAGCCCTTCGTTTACAAAACACCTCATTTAATACTAACAGCAACCCAGTGACAGATTACCTCCGGTGAGGACTGACGGAGGTGTCCCGGCGAGCTGAGAGTCAGAGGTGGGGTTCAACCGTATGATTTCAAATTCACCACTCATCCCACTCCCATTTTCAACCGGTGGACAAGCAACGAGCGCGAGTACCTTTGTTTTCAGAATCCTACCCCAAGCCGGTTTTCGAAAGGAGACGCCCCCCCTACACTCGAACCTTCTGTTCGATGAACAGCTCCTCGCGTCGCTTCCTCTTCTCCTTCAGCAGTGTTTTATCCCTGGGAGGAAGGGGGGCAAGTCAGGGCGAGGAGGGACAGGTGGGGCGGGGAGGGACGGCTCTCCGGCCGGGCCGCGGGCTCCCAACCTGCGCACGGTCTCCCGAACTCGCCGCTCCTCTTCTCTCGCCTCCGCCTGGGCGCTGGCGAAAGTCAGTTCCTCCGGGGCCTCGTCGTCCAACTCGTCGTCCCCGTCGTCGTCTTCCTCCAGCGGCTCGGCGGCCGCGCCGCTGCTGGGCTGCCCGAGCAACAGCCCGTGCTCCGCCTCCTCCTCCGACGCGGGCTGGCCCTCGTCCACCATCGCCGACGCCGACGCCGGGGTCCTGGACGCGCGCGGCCGAAGCTGCACCATGGCCCACGCCGCGCCGGACCGTCTGGCCTCTGACCCGGAAGCAGCAGGACGCAAGCCGAGCGTGACGTGAAGAGCGAGCGACACGGGTTTCGTCGCTCCCCGCAGGTTCGGAAGCTCCACCGAGAGACGGGAAGCGGAAGACCGCCCGCCGCCAGTGGAGGCGCGTGCGCAGGGCGGGAGGGGCGTG